GCCCCAGGAGGAGACAGAGGGCCGATGTGGAACAGTTCTGTTCTCCTCTCTAGAGAGGAAAGACTCGTACCTCTGAGCTCGAGCAGAGTGTCTCCGCCGTGTGAGTGTCTGACTCACAGGTACTCGTGAGTAGAGGAAAGGATTACTGTCAGGGAAGGACGACTGTTGTTCAAGGAGGCCCTCTAGAGGAGACTAAGGTGAGATAATCCTGCGCTAGGTCACACACTGTGAAATTAAAACAGCACGTTACTGTAGGTCTGTATGTGCACACGTGCTGCAAATGTATAAACGTTTCAGAAGACACAGATAACTTCTAATAACGAGAGTTTCTCTCCAGTTTTGCACTCAATAACTCTGGAATTAAACCAAAATCATTTTTCTCTTTAACCTCTCTCTCATACAAATAAAAGCAAACACACAAACTTCCACAACATGACAATTTTCTCATGTTTTGCGAACTAAACAGTTCTATACACATATAATACCGGTGTGACTCTGTTACTGATTTTTTAAATGTATTTTCATTTTTTTAAGTTAAAAAAGATACAAAGGCAGGCTCAAGTAAAAGGAGGAGACAGACTCCCATCAACCGAACCTCTCCCACACCAACATCATCAGTGTCTTTTTGCCTTTGTGTATCTGTTTCAGGTTATCAATAAACTGTGTAAACTGGGTGTCTCCATCGTGAGCCATCAAGAAGGTCTCTCTTGCCTTGAACACCATCAGGCCGTTCTGTTGACACTTAATATTTTAAGAGTGAGTATAAACACTCAGTTACAACAGTTTGCTCTGTGGTGGAGGAAGTTGTGTCTTCGCTGATGGGCTGTCTGCAGGTTCCTAGGGCAAACGCTGAACTTCCCTGTGAGAATCTGATACAGCTGCCTCCTTGATGGTGATATTATGACCCATGTGGCTGTCAGGCGAGGACCCAGGTGGACTCTTGGCTTGAGTACGCCCTCAAGTGGCGGGCAGCAGACCTTCACAGGGAAAAATGTCCTCTCTGCCAGATAACTCCTAATAACGGGACAGCAGGAAGAGGACTTGTTGAAATCTATTGTCTTGTCCATCTTACTCACACTCACTGTGGATTTTATTTTGTAGCTATAGATATAAAACTCTGTGTTTGATAATATTAACATATTTCTAAGCCATTAAATCTAGAATCAAAAGTGTGACTTGTGACCAGTAAGTGAAACAGTCCTGTTGAGGAAGAGGAGGACACGTGTGTCCCTTGCCCTCACATGATCATGTTTCTGTTTCCTGTAGGGGCTTTTGTGAGCCACAGAAACCCTGAACCCTGAAGGAGTCTGGGTGAGAGGCTGGAGCCAGGAGAGACCTCTGCGCTGTGAAGAGATGGTGGATTTCTCTTTCCTCAGGGAGAAGCTGAGGATCGGAGGAGTGGTCCGCAGTGTGTCGGTGGTGGTCCTGCTGCAGATTGTGGAGCAGCTCACGGAGCAGACATTCTCCTGTCCCTGCAATGAATTCAGACAGTGGTTTGCTGCCCTGTACTTCGCTACTCCAGCTGCAGTGCTTGTAGTTCTCACAGCCGCTGCTGCTCGCTGTCAGAAGAGGATTCTTTTCAATCCGTGTCAATGTGGACGTCCGTGTAGAAGCCCATGTGGAAGCCCATGTGGAAGATACTGTGAAGATGGGAGCTCATTGTTCAATATGATTCCGAAGTGTCTCTACCCGGCCTCGTGCTGGATCGTGATACTGCTGATTGATGGCAAGTACTTTGCTTGCTTCGCTGTCTCCAAGTGTGAGAATGGAACAGTAGACATCAATGATGCTGAGGGTATGAAATATCAAGCTGAATCCAAAGTAAGTAAACCTGCTGGACAGGTGATCTCACTGTTACAAGATTATGTTAATAGAAAACAATGATAAGTATAAAACTACAGCATTCTGGATGAATTCCCATTTGTCAGCACCTCAGTAACTGTGGGAATGATATCTATTTATCATCCACATAGAATTAGATCCCAAAAGCTCACATAACAGTACAACATAAATGCAATTAAATGGCACATTTTCTGTGCAGTCAACCAAATACAATACCAACACATTACACAAAAAGGTTTCAGCTTGTATCTTCAAACCGTAAACAGTGATCTTAAGCATTCTTTATATCAATATAACAGGAAGGTTAGAACAAATTAACTCCCATGGTTATTTTTTATTTGATGATATTATCTGATGCAATACATTGGCTTGATCCCTTGATCCTGGAAAGTCCGACATAGATCCCCACACTAATCTACACTGGTGCCTGTTTAAACATACTCCAAGCACCAGATCCCACTACCCCTGCACACAGCCCACAGTGGGATCCCTCCAGACTTCACACACACAGACACTGGAGTCTCACTACCAGGACACCGGACACCTGAGTCCATCAGACCTCACCAGTGAAGAGGAGCTCCAGTGTGTACAGTGTCCCAAAGAGGAACTGTGGAGTCTCCTCTCACTCTCTCACATACACTACCAGACCACTGGACACCTGAGAAACACACACACTGGAGTCTCCTCTCACTCTCTCACATACACTACCAGACCACTGGACACCTGAGAACCACACACACACACTGGAGTCTCCTCTCACTCTCTCACATACACTACCAGACCACTGGACACCTGAGAACCACACACACAC